GAAATGTTAGTTTTTATGGAGGATCTCAAAGCCCCTGCTTCTGAGACATAATTGCCCACTGTGTTTCCCTGCCCCTCTTTCTCCAGCTAACCAGTGCTAAGGACCTTGGCGCCCACTGGTGTATCATTCTACGGAGAGCTTGTGGGTTCGGACACAGGGGCAAGACCTCTGCTTTATGGAATCTGCAGGGGAGGCAGGCGAGGGGTGTCAAAAAAACAGTTGCCTGTCACGTGTCACATGTAAGTCATCTGAAAGGCAGTGACACTGCGGCTCCTGGAGAAGTTGACAGTTTTAGGGGATGCAGTAAGGAAAGTGCAGCATGGCATTTGACAAGGGAGCAGCACGTGGTGGCTGGCACCAGATAACAGGGTGTAGGCCCATCTCTGGGAGTTGTGCCTGGGAAGGGGGAGCTGGCTGGCGCTAAGAGCACGAGTAAATACCGCAGGAGTGTTTTCTTCCATTGGAGCGCTTATGCCTTCTTGTCAGCGTGGCTGATAAAGGAATGAGTGAAGGGTAAAACATAATTATCTCAACTGTCAAGCCAGCATCTCCAGGTCCCAGAGTATGTCAGAGCCAGGAGGCTAGCTCATCAGGCGGTGACTTCGAGCACTTTCAAGGTTGGCGCAGGCAGGCTGGGATCTCAGTGACTCAGCTCTGGAACCAGAGGGCTGAGAGCCAACGTGAAGAAGTGTGTTCTAGAGGCCTAGTGGCCCTTTGCTAGGCAGCTAAGGTGGTGGGGAGGGGCTCACATGCTTTGGAGAACCAGATCCCTGGTGTTCAGGATGCTTATAAACTGAGATGTGTGTGAGCTGGCTTATTCATAAAGCATACAGAAGTCACTGCTGGTGTAGACATCTAGGAATGGAGGAGGGAGGATGGAGTTGATTCTGATGAGGGTTTGGGATGTAGTGGATATTTGCTAGTTGTTCAGCTTAGAAACCATTCTCATTTTGGGGAACAGCATATAAACTTTTCTCTGGGGAGCCGCTGTGTTGACGTATACTCTGAGTTTGGGAAGGGGTCACCCCACCCTTATTAGCCAGGTGATTAGCAGAGTCCATTCTGCTGGCTCTAGAGATTGATTCAGGGAGCCTGAGTACCTGAGCCAGTTCTGGCCAGTGCGCAGGACTTTTCTGGGAAGAGCCGCTCTCTCTTTTCTGCTGTGTGAGCTGAGAGTGTAAGATGTTGGCTTGGAGCTGTTGGCAGCCATCTTTGCCACTATGAAGGGAAAGCCTGTCTGTGAATGAAGCTAATATTGCATAGAAATGCATAATTTGAGTTCCTGGATCTAGCTGAAATGGAAGCTAGACTACGACTGGAATTTCAGTTATATCTATCAGGAAATTCTCTTTTTTTGCCCAAGGTGGTTTGAGTTAAGTTTGCTGTTCTTTGCAGCCAAATGAGTCCTTATATAGTATGGATTCTTGGAGAAGCATACTGGGGTTATTTTTTTTCTTTTTCTTTTTTTCTATGGCCCTCAGTTTGTCACTTAAACATGCTGGATCTTTTAAGCATAAATGGAGTGTTGATAGTCACAGGATGGCCCGTAATTGAAAGGAAGAAATGAAATTCAAAAATGTTAGTGCCTAAGGGAGGGTGCAGAGAGGTTTGGATGGTGCTGGGTAGGATTGGAGCCATGTTGGACCTGGAGCCAGGTCCCCTGGCACCTAGTCCTACTCCACTGCCAAGCACCTCTGCTTTTATTTTTTTAGTTTTTAAAAGGCTTTTTTTTTTTTTTGAACGAGAGTCTTGCTTTGTCGCACAGGCTGGAGTGCAGTGGCGTGATCTCGGCTCACTGCAACCTCCACCTCCTGGGTTCAAGTGATTCTCCTG